ATCAAAAAGTTATTATATAAAAAAATTTTATAAAAAAATTATTCTTATATTATCACTCTTTCAAATTATCTATTGTAATCCAAAATTATCATTTGATTGTTTATCCAGATTAAAAATATTTAAAAAAATAACAAGAAAACTAACCAGTTGCACGTGGCCAATAGGGATTGAGGTCCTTACCATTAAATTGTACACCAAGATTTAAGATTTCATTTGGGAGTATTGGACTGTAATTATAAATATAAGTTTTTGTAACCTTTAATATTATAAAAACATATAAAATATATTTTATATTTATTTTAATTAATAATTTATATACATTTAAAATAATAAGAAGATTAAAAAAAAGGAAAATAAACTAATTTAAAATGGAGCCTAACTCATTTGTGGCATTTACTAATATTAAACAACTCCTTCCATCCCTTAAACCCCTAAACTTATCCTAAATTAACATTTAAATCCATAAATTAAAAACAATGCAAATAAGCCTTCAAACTCCTCAATTAATGTAAATAAACCCCTTACGACTAATGACACTATCAGTTCAAATGGCTGGATTGACTCTGTTTGTTCTAGTCTTCTAGATGTTGATATGGAGGAATCTTTGGGTTGTACCAAAGTCCTAAAAATTTTAAATTAAAAAGGAAAAAAAAATTTAGAGACAATATTTTTATACTTCCTCCTTTGTAGAATAATATATATATTTTATTTAGAATTTATTCTAAAATAATAGTTATTTTTTCATATTTTAAGGAAAACAAATATGTTCTTTCAACTTTAACCTTATGATTATTTTTTAATTTTAAGTATCCTTTTTATAATGAGAAAGGTTTTTTTTACTTTTATTTTTTAAGGGTAAAATAGGAAAAATTGAAATTATCTCCAAATCCTTAATTTGGAGATAAAATTATAAAAACGTTAATTTTTCTAAAATCGAGAGAGTACAACTTTTTTATACAACTTTATGTCTCATTCAATTATTAACTTTTTTTTTATTAAATTAGGATATGTAATATTGTATGTATTCATTTATTTAATAATACGAAAAAGTTGTATAAAAAGATTATACAAAAAAATTATCTTTATATCATTATCAAAAAAAAAAAAAAATTGAAAAGGCATTTTTATCCACGTCAACACCTATATTGCCACATTAGCATTACCAAACATAGTTCATGTTACACGGCTGTTGGTTATAAAGGACTTATTGGCACCAATTGAGGAGTGAGAGTGCTTATTCGCATTATTTTTAGTTAAAAAACTTAAATGCTAATATGAGGCAAGTTTAGGGGTGTAAGAACAGTTTTTGCCCCAAAATAATAAATATTTTTATTTAAAATTGGTCTCAAATAGACCTCACAAATAGGTCGAATAAAATGAATTCAAATTAGGTCAGCTTGAATTTTAAATTTATTATAGTAAGTCATTTTAAATTTG